CCCCCCAGCCCGCCCCGCGGGCAAGCCCCAGCCACGGAAGCGGTTCCAGCTGCCTCCGTTCCGGCAGGCGCACTCCAGGGCGCAGTCGGGGCCATAGTATCCTGGGGGACAGGCTGCGGGAAGAGGAGAGCTCGCTGCTTCCCCTAGTCATGGTGCAGGCAGAGACCACAGCCAGCAGCACTGCTCATCCTATGCTTATTTTCAGGCTGGGAGAGGTGCTGCTGCTGCTGAAGAGCAGAGCCAGGTCCCAGAGGAAGCCCAGGTTCATGAGTGAGCTGATGGACACCCATGTCCACATACCTTGGCTGCAGCGGGAGCCACTCCAGCCAGAGGCACAGGAGCAGCCGTAGGGGTCTGGTAGGCAGAAGCTCAGCCCTCTGCAGCCCTGGGCTCTCTGGCATGTCTCCTGGCAATTGCGGCCAAACTGGCCTTCCCTGCAGGCTGGAAAAACAAGCGTGGTCTGCCCTCACCTGCTGTTCACCCATGCACTGCTGGCTCAGGTGGTCCAAGCCCCATATTGCCACCCTGAGCAAGCACGGGAGCCATGTCCTGATGAGAAGGTGGATGGTCCAGCCCTGCTCCAGAAACAGGGGCACTGTAGGCAGAGGAGCACTGGGGATGCACAGGGAATGCCTGGCCATGGTGTCCAGGTCTGGGTGCAGTGGGGCCCCCCGCATGTCCTGGGCACAGCTCCCACTGCTGGGAAGCCCAGCCCAGCACCTACCTCGCTCGCAGCGGGTGCCCATGAAGCCAGGAGGGCAGACACATTCACCAACATGGTCATGGCAGATGCCGCCGTTCAGACAGTCAGGACAGTCCTTTTCACAGGATGGTCCCCATTTCTTTGCAGGACAGGCTGCAGAGAGAGTGGGGCGGTCTGAGGGTGGCGCCAGGCACTGGGGTATGGCCGCCTGTCCCCATGGCCCAGGGAGCCAGGGCCCTGCTCACCTCTCACGATCAGGCGGTAGAAGGCACTCCACAGAGGGCTGTCCCCCATGAACGTGGCACTGTAGACACCGTTCTCGCTCACACTGACGTTGGGGAGTGTCAGAATGACGAGGTCGCCCCGCACCTCGCCACGGTCCGTGGTCTGGTAGTATGTGCCTAGAAGGGGACAGAGGGTGACCCAGGGCCCTCCTGCACCCCCAGGGCTGGCACCAGGCAGCAGCTGAGAGCAGCCCCAGCCCCTGGCCTGCTCTCGGGGCCACTTGCCATTTCTTTTCCACATAACGTCTGTCTGCTTCCTCTTGAGGACCCTGGCAGAGAAGGTGGCCGGCTCGGCGATGTTCACAGACTGCGTGGCCTTCACTGGGAAGAGGTGGGCTGTGGAGGAGGAGGAGGAGAAGCAGGCTGAGCAGTGGTCACCCCCAAGGGCACTTACACCCCAGGGCAGTGTCAGCACCCTCTGCCATGCCGAAATATAGCCCTGATGCAGCCCAGCACCCACCACCCATTTCTGCTCACCATTACATACCTCCCTGTACACCCCATGTGGGAGCTGGGACACCCTTGAGCCTCTGCAGGCTCCTCCAGCCACTGTGGGCAGACTCCAAGCAGTGGGACAGGGCACCCTACCCTCTGGCCAACCAGCGCCAGCCTGGTGTTGGATGCTGGCGGCAGCAGCCTGGGGAGGTGGCGCTGGGACAAATCCACGCAGTGCACCCTGCTTGCTTCTGTGTCAGGAGGTGCAGGGTGGTGGCAGGCAGTGACAGCATGTGCAGGTGAGGGGCAGGAAGGGAAGCAGGCTTGTAGAGGGCTGTGTGCCAGCCCACAGGACCAGTGGCCCTGTCATGGCTGTCTTCCTGATTTCCCAGGTGCTGGGGTGTGCAGCAGCAGTGAGCTCCCACAGTATTACTGTGAGTCAGCCAGAGCTCAGCTCTGAGCACAAATGGGGCTATAAATACATTAAGACCTGGGAAACCAAGCCCTGGGTGTGCCAGGAGAGACATAAAAGAGGGCACAGGCAGGCGCTGGCTCTCACACCCCGCCAT